GGTTTTTTTTCTCTTCATAGGAAACAGAGAAATGGTATATTTACCGTAGCAAGATACTCTACGATCCAAACTGCACAGACAAATTTTGTATTTGCTTACATTTGTTGAGCTTACTTTTAAATCTCATGACACCTGAAAAAAGTTACTCTATTGATTCTCACTTCTCTTGAGCAGTACTGCTAAATGCATAGTGTTGACTCCAACTGTATTAATTTCCACCATGACCACATAGCCATGATGAAAAGGGCAAAAGGGTTGTTTTGAGGGTGTACACAGGACTGTGGGATGGCATTACTTTCTTATTAGGCAAGTATCTCCAAGCTGTCAACTGAAAGCAAAACCAGACTGCAGACAACAAAGAGTTAAATAACAGTGCAATTAATTGATCTTGCACAATGATCAAATTTTATTTAATAAACTTTGTGCCCAAGCTTCATTACTGATTGTTCCCATCCAATTATAGTTATAGGTCTGAGGTTATTTCAAAACATTAAGACATGAGTGTATTTTATTTCTTCAAAAAGGGAGCTGGTTCCAGTTGAGCATAACTTACTTTTCGCAAGTTTATTGCCACTCGTCATCCATGCCTCCCGCTGAACGCGTAGCACTACTTTGCAGTTTGTTTTTCGCGCTACTTCGTACGGCACTACGTTGCCTGGCGGACGGACATGTGACCAACATACCACTCTTGAACCCCGATACTGTGTGTCTGATCACATGCCCTTCCGCCAGGCAACGTAGTGCCGTACAACAGTGGAACAAACAAAAAAAATTGTCTTACGATATCACAAAAATCATGAACAATCCATTGAAAAGCCGTACCTGACTAAAGCTTGTGCAAAAAGTAGCGGCTTATAGCCCGACAGTTGCGGTACATAAAAGGGCTTCCTCTCACTGGAGAGCTCTGTTTTTTTTTTTTACTTGTTTCACTAAAACATTGTTGTGATTGTGTTTAATCATGTGTCAAATGTATGGACAAAGGTCCTAGGTCATATACACCCACAGACCTTTTAACGAGTGGAATGCATCCAATTTGTTATAAAACCACTCCCAGATATCATAAAACATAGAGAAAAGATACAATTTCTTAAAAAAACTTGTTTATTACTATCACAATACCAGCCAATCACAGGTAAACTCATGAATACTCATAAAACTTGATTTCTATGTTAGCTAAGACAGATTATTATATATGGTTACAAAGTGTGTTGTGCAAGCCCATGATGTTGTCGTTATCTTGTGATGCCAGGTGGCTTCCTTCATTGAGTGCAGTTTGTTCTTCTCAAGGCTTCTTCCCTTTATGAAGGTCTTTCACGTGCTCATATGCGTAGGTTACATAGGGAGCAAGCCAAGCCATTTTAGCTTTTTAAATAGCAGCCTATAACATTTTAACTCTAACATTCCTTCGTGTTTGACATTTTAAAAGCTTGTCTTTCGTTCTTCAGTATAACATCACTTGCAAATGCATTTTCAATATATACATTAGGGATGCACCGATACCGATA